AATATCCACGTACATACACAGTGTCATCACAGACACTAAATATCCACATACACAGTGTTATCACAGACCATAAATATCCACACACATATTGTCCACACAGACGGTAAATATCCACATACACAGTGTCCACACAGACGGTAAATGTCTACACATACATACACACAAACACACAAAGTGTCTACACAGATCGTAAATATCCACACACACAGTGTTTAAACACAGGCCGTAAACTTCCCAATACACAGTGTCTACACACACCGTAAATATCTACACACACGATGTCTAAACAAATATCCCCATGTACACTCATACAATGACCACACAGACCGTGAATATTCACACACACTTACATTCTGTCCACATAGGCTAAATATCCACATACACACACACACTCACATATCCACACAGTCCGTACATATCCACACGCACGCAATCACACTGTCCAGAAAGTTTCCACATTGACACTCACATAGTGTCAACATATAAAGTCAATATCCACACACACTCACATAGTGTCAACACATAAAGTCAATATCCACACACACTCACATAGTGTCAACACATAAAATCAATATCCACACACACTGACATAGTGTCAACACATAAAGTAAATATCCACACACACTCACATAGTGTCAACACATAAAATAAATATCCACACACACTCACATAGTATCAACACATAAAGTCAATTTCCACACACACTCACATAGTGTCAACACATAAAATCAATATCCACACACACTCACATAGTGTCAACACATAAAGTCAATATCCACACACACTCGCATAGTGTCAACACATAAAGTCAATATCCACACACACACACTCACATAGTGTCAACACATAAAGTCAATATCCACACACACTCACATAGCGTCAATACATAAAGTCAATATCCACACACACTCACATAGTGTCAACACATAAAGTCAATATCTACACACACATTCACAGTGTCCACACAAACCTTAAATGTCCACACACACACAGACACAGACACACTCACTTAATGTCCACACTTACCGTAATATCCACACATGCACACACTCCCATTATGTACACACACCGTAAATATGCACAGACGCACAGTTCCATGATAAATACCGTAAATCTGGGAGAAATGTGGCTTTTCTGCCTACACCCGGGCGTCAGACCACAGGGAGTTCGTCACCCGGTCACCGCGTAGTCCGGTTAAGCCAACTACGTTAGCGAGCCGAGCATATATATATATATATGTGTGTTAACACAGTGTCCACACAGACCGTACATATATACATACTTTGACTTGATGCTCTTTCAGTTACTAGTTTATGCTACCCCCCCCCCCCCCCCACAAACTCCCCCCCCCCCCCCCACCCCCCGCAAATTCACCGACTACTCTTTTCTTCATTGAAGTAGTTTGGAAAAAAAAATTAAGTGAAATGCAACGAAAACAGGAAAAATACACAATAATTACGAAATGAACGCTATGATAAACAAAACAACCTAATTCCAACGCAATGTTAGAAGAAATAATTAAATCGAAATGAAAATAAATAGAAATCTAAGAAAATTCAGCGTTACCATGCAATTAGAGAGTTTGCAACAACAATAAAAAAAAAAATCATAAGTATGCGAAATAGTCAAATTTAATTATCAACTGGTTTACCCGCATACCTGTTTTTTTTTTAAAATAGTTTTTATGGCCACATGGCTAGTGCTGTCGCCATGACAAAGCAGGTCTGGTTTTTTTTTTTGCTACCGGGTAAAAAAAAAAAAAAAAGGAACTGCCGTCTCCCGCACGGGAACCCAGTGTACTAACCATTCGACCAGCCAACCACTGCTTCTGAACAACGAAAAGATAACAAAACTTCGCAAAATGTGTGTCCCGATTCTAACAACTGAAAACCGCAGGCAATTTTGTTTTCTCATTACCAGATTTCCCAGATATAACTTCAAGTATTATTGAAACGGCACAATAATAGACATAGATCTCCCCCACCCCTCTCTTCCCCTCTCTCAAATCCACCGACTACTCTCTAACTCATCGAACGTTGTTTGAAAAGAAAGAAAATAGAAACCGTGTATTATATAGTTAACGTCGCAATCAGCGATATAAAGATAGTCTAGTTTGCTGTACGGGCGAATGTAAAAAATGGAGGGTCCCACGTCTAATGCGCATGCACTGTGAAAGTCGATCGCACATGCGCATTTACTAACGAGGCTATAATTAAATGCCACTAAAAATGGAAATATCAGTTTCGAAGATTTTTGCAACAAATGTGGTCACCTATCACTAACAATGACAGGTAAAATTTCAAACCATGATGGGTAAACATCCGGTATCAAAACAAATATCCTTAAAATTTCAGCTAAATCAGTAGAGTATTTTACGAGTCTATAGCTCATAAACAAACACCAAAACATTGATTTGAATATATATATATACATATATATATATATATAATATATATATATATATATATTATATTATATTATATATATACAAAGATATAAT